CCATTACCCAACCAATCCCCCCATACTCCCCCCCCTTTTACCCCCCCTTACCCTTCCCCAACCCCCCCCTCTTAAACCCCCCCCCAAAACCCCCCACCCCTCTAAAACCCCCCTCCCCCAGCTCCCCACCTCCCGCATCTACAATGAAAACCCCCCCATACCCCATATCACCCCCCCCCCCCCTTCCACCCCCCACTTAAACCCCCTTCCCCCAAAACACCATACCCCCCCATCCCCCCCCCCCCCCAACCCAACCAACCCCCCCCCCCCACCCCCACCACCCACTCCCCCCCCCACACTCACCCCTCACCACCCCCCCACCCCCCTCCCCCCCCCACAATACAAACAATCCCCATCCCCATACCCACCCCCACATACCCCCCACCAAAAACCTACCCCCCCACCCCTATCACAACAACACCCGGCCAACCACAACCAACCCCCCCCACCCCCCCCCCCCCCCCCAACCCCCACCCCACTTCACCCCCCCTCACCCCCCCCACTCATTCCACCCCCACATCACCCAACCCCCCCCCCCCCCCCCCACCCATACCCCCCTACACCCCCCCCTCCACCCCCCCCCCCCCACCCCCCCCACCCCCCCTGCCCCCCCCCCCAACACCACCCACCCCACCCCCACACCCCCCCCCAACTATCCCACCCCCGTCTCCTAACCCAATCACCTCCCCCCCCAATATCCCCCCCACACCCCCCCCCCTTCATTCCCACATCCACCCTATTATATCCAACTCATCCCCCCACCCCACCCCCCCCCTGCCCCCCAACCAGTCCCCCCCCCCCACCCCACTAACAACCCCCTAATTCCCCAACCCACACTCCCCCAATAACCCAACCCATAACATTCCAACATCCACATAACCCCCCCAGTCAACCCACTCTGTAATCCCTACAACAAATGCCAATCCCAATTCTCTTGCCCCCCCCCAAACCGACCACCCCAAGCACCCCCCACAAACCCCCCCCCCCAATAAACCCCAACCCCGCACCCCCCTCATAAACCAAACCATACTCTAACCACCCACAACAACACCCACTTACCACACACCCAAAAAACCCCAACACAACCCCCCTTCCCCCCATCACCTCACCCCCCACCACAACACCCCCCCCCCCACAATCCCCCCCATCCTACCCCACTCACCCCAAACCTCCCCCCCCCCCACTTTCACCCACCATCTACCCCCCCGAATAACCCACCCCACCCCCCCAAACGCCCCACCTCCTGGCCCCAAACACCATCTACCCCCCCCCCCTCAACACCACCCGCCCCCCCCACCCCCCCCACCCAAACCCCCTACTTCAAACATCAACCCCTCCCACAATCCCAGCCCCACACCCAAACCATAGCAACATCAACCCCCAACTATTTTAGACTCCAATCAAACTACCCTCTCCCCCAATCGGCTTATCAATAAACCAACACCCCCATTCTCCCCCCCCCTACACCAATTCCCCCAAACCCCCACCCCCACCCCCCTAAACCCCCAATCCTTTCTTAACTCCCCCCCCCCTCATCCACCCCACTGAACCACCCGCCCCATCCACCACCCAAACTCCCACCCCACAACCATCACCTCCCACCCTCCATCCATACCCCCGAACCCACACCCCAAAACCCCCCCCCACAACCCTGACCCCTCACCCCCATCACCCTGCCCACCACCCCATAGCCCCAACCCCACATCCCACGCCTCCAAAACTCCCCCCCCAAACCCCACCCCACCAACCCAACACCAATACTCCATTACCCCCAAAAATACCCTCCCCCTTAACCCCCCCACTTATCGCCCCCCAACCCCCCCACTACCCGATTTCCCTCAACACCTCCTAACAACACCCACCCCACTATTACAAACCCCCACTACACCCCACTCCCCTAAACCCACCCCCCACCCCCTCCCCCACTAACCCCCCACACCTACCACCCAACCCACAACCCCCATAACCCCTACCTTTCAGCCAACCCATCTCACCAAAAACCCCCCCCTCAACCCCCCTAATCCACCCTCCAACCCGCCCTCCTTCCACCTCCCCAACCCCCCCATACAATACTCCCCCCTCACCGCCCAAAACCACCCCAATAACACTATCCACCCACCCCTCCCCCACAACACAACCCCCCAACCCCCCCCCCACCCCCCCAATACCCCCAACCCCCCCCCCCAACTCCCTTACCCCACCACAAACCCACCCCCCCCCCCCCCACACTAACCCCCCCCCCACCCCCGTACACCCCCCCTATCCCCCCACCACACGACCCACCCAAACACACCCCAAACCCCCACCCCCACACCCCATTCCCTCCCCACCCTTCCCCACCTTCCCTTCGTACGCCAATCACCCTACGACACCCCACAAACCCTTCAACTCTCAACAATGTCTTACACCATGGGGTCCTTCGCCACATATACCAGAACAACACCCTATCCCACATGCGCCCAAACCACAACATACCCATCCCGGCAAACCACTCACAAACGCCCATTTCCCAGCTACACCAACCATTGAACCCTTCACCCATACCAACACACTCCATCCTTCCCAACAGAATCATTAACCCATACCCCTTCTATTCAACAACCCCCTCATCTTCCCCAACCCACCCCACACCACTGACCCCCATCTCTTCCAATCCCCAAATAACCCCCTGCATCAAATCAACCCCCTCCCCAAGCCAAACCCCCACTACCTAGCAGCGCCTTATCTCTGTTCATCTCCCCCTTCACCAGAGACCCACTGACCCCTCTGTTCATATACAACTCTGTCCATAATCTCCCATTCCCATCCTAATCCCTCACTCCCCCCTATCCTCATCACTGTCACTCACTATCTACTCCTTGTAACACATAATTACCACCACCACTTCATGCACTTAACCCCACTTAAAATCACGCACATCGTGCCCTACCGTCAACGCCTACCCCTTGCTTACATACCCAATCCCTAGCCACCTATCCCCTCCCACCCATTTATCAACTCATTACCCAATGCCCTCTTCGCACCACACTCTTAGCCAACATACACCCCTCCATCCTCCACTTACCCAACCCCACTCAGTTTATTTACACTCAGAAAATCCCCCTGCAATCCCCCCCCCCCACACTATCAACAACACATACCCGAGTCATAATACCCATATTGACAACAACTAACACCCACATCTACCCCATGCCCCTACAAAACCAGTTCATTCCTAACTCCATGCGATCACTATTAACGCTGTACTATCAAATCCTACGCCCTCAAACATCTTCATCCTGTGGTCCACCATCTGGTATTCACCATCCAAAGGGGCGAACTCATATCTGTACCATACAATCCAATACTTTCCCTGCCCTCCATCATAACACATAGACTACACCCATGAATACCAAAGTCCACAGCACACTATCTTTATTCCTCTCATCCCCTCACAATCCTGCCTAACCTAGTCCATAATCATTCTCTGCGACCTCCCAGATTAAATCTCACTGAAACCACCCATAGTATACCCGCTCACTGGACATTACTCTTAAACACTCCCTACCTCCTAATCCTCTCTGTAATCCCCTATCAAGTCATCAACAAAATCAATTTGTTTCCCTTCCTCTCGACCTAACTGATGTGCCCTCTCTGTACAAACTTTCCCTCAACCATCAGCACTCCATGACTCCTTGCGACTTAGCCCTCAGTAATACCATGCTATCTGTCACACCCCATACATTCCACCTTTTACTGTCCACTCCCTAACCCCTATCCTCAATCCACCTCTGTCCGTCAATTTCCGCTATCCAACCAACCCAATCGACAACAACCTTCCAAACTGGTAAACCATCTATCAGATTTCCATATACTTCTATGAGGAATTACCCCACATAATATCCACTACACACCACAATTAACACAGTCCAGATTATCCGAAGGAATGAAATTCACATTCATTTGTACCCCTGTCTAATCACCACTAACCCAACCCCCTACACACCCATTGTCAGTTCTCCACACCTCTGTGTGTGACTTAGAGTCTGCAGTAAGGCAAATAGCGTGGTCCATAATCTAACTGGCGAAATCGTATGTTTTGACCCGTGTGCCCCCTCCATATCATGCCTTCTTCTTCTCGACCCTGAGTTTCTTGAATTACAATCAACGAAGTACTGAGATACGTTTACTTGTCTGTTAAAATGTCTTCAGCCCCGACCCTTCATCCTCACTGTGATTTCGAATCACCCTTCCTTTCATATGAAAGTTTACGTATTCTAAGGTGTACTCTCCCCTTCTTAATTAGAGATTACGTTTTACTGTGCATATGTAGTAGTCTTCTCTGGTCTAATCTCGCAGTATTGATACACATAAAGATAGTAATGTTTATACGCATAGTCATCTGGTCCTGGCTGGGGTGACGAGAGAACTGTCCGTTGAATCGATGAAATAAAGTGTCCGCGCAAAAGTCTTCTATGTACGGTCTCTCCTAGCATCTTGTTTCCGCTCAGTCACCTCTCAGGAAAAATATGTAGATAAAACCCTGTACTCGTGCCACTGTTAAAGACTAACAAGATTCTCACGTGTGACAGAATGGCTGTATGCAATTTGTACTTTCTTACCTAGTCATCAACTCGCTTGTATCGATAACCGCAGTCTTGTAGAACCATCTCCGTTACAACTTTGACGTAATCAGTCATATTCCTATCAACGTCAACAAATCGTATTATGAAACGCTATTGTCTGCAGGGATAAATCTACATAGTCGAATCTTCACTAAACTGTGTCTACGAAAATGACATTACCTCTCTCATTAAGACGCTGGTGGTCAGCCGATGTTCTTCGAGTTCTAGTATCGGTGGTCAAAACCGCAGTCTCTAGAATCGTATTCAACTGTGAATTGTAGAGCATCTTCATGCGAGTTAGTCTTTCTATGGCCATCTGTTTTACTGGTTTATGTTTTTCGTGCATGCAAAGAAGTACACCCTCTGCGTCATCTTCCGTTACTGTTTCTTCGTTAATGTCTGATGGTCTATTGTATTCTGTGCGTACTGATTCTTTGTTGCCGTCTGTTTCAGTCTACTGGAGTCATCCCTTCTGTATTTGTATGTGAAGAGATGAGAAGAATTTAGGTCCCCCCAACCTTCCCCCAACCCCCCCCCCCCTGGGACTGTGTACTGTCAGAATTAGGTCTACCATGCTAGTTCGTATTCCAAGTGCTAGTTCCGCGGTCTTAGGTCATCAGATCCGTGGATTTTGTTGTCCGCTTCTCCTAGTCACCAACACTAGCGTGAATTAGTTTCATCACGTAGAGGAACATTTGGTCTTCATATTTCTGTCCGCACAGTCACTACTGTTTGAATATCCCTGTACTTTTGCATTGCTAGTTACTAGTCTCACTGGTTCATAACGCTTCTTGTTGTACCTCAGGATACCGCTCTCAGTCTTGGTCCATCTCGTGTACCCCAAAAACAAGTGAACGCAGACTCTGAAGTCATTTATCCTGGAGTGTAGGACGTGCTCCGCTAATAGTGTAGAGGCAAATGTATACGCTCGACTGAATGCTTCAATGGCTAAGTCTCAACTTCATGTCTAACTGTACTGTGTCCGCAGAGCAGTGACTTCACTGTCTTAATCTCTATGTTGTAAATGTCGTCCACCGAAGACTAATCCACAATTAATAGGAATATCCCAATGTATTCTGGTCCCATTACGTATGGTTAAAATCCATTTTACTGTATCGCTGCTATCTGCTGAGAGTGTACTCTCTGTTCTCCTTCCGCAAAGAAAGTTCTAATGGTCATCCCTATGTAATGTTCGCAGTCAGCCTGGTCATCGGTCACTGCTACCTGTTACCAGTATACGGGTCCCAATGTGCGCATGCACAAGAAGCAGTGCTCTTTGTGAATGGTAAGGCGTGGGGGTGGTACCTGGGACACATGACAGATCCCAGAACCCAATCACAAAGCGCAGCGCTTCTCGCGCATGCGCACTGGGCATCCGGCTGTCCGACGAGCGCCCACACTACAGAAGCCGGGAAGACAGCGCGCGGCTGGATAAAAAAACAGGTAAGATAAAAAAAAAACTCTGCGGAAGTAAGAGCGGGTACCTGTCAAATTCAGGTACCCGCTCCCCCTCCCTCCCCAAAGGTCAGCAGTCATCTGTACTGTCCGCAGTCTCTGGTCATCCCTGTACTGTGTCCGCAGTCTCTGGTCATCTCCTGTACTGTGTCCGCAGTCTCTGGTCATCTCCTGTACTGTGTCCGCAGTCTCTGGTCATCTCCTGTACTGTGTCCGCAGTCTCTGGTCATCTCCTGTACTGTGTCCGCAGTCTCTGGTCATCTCCTGTACTGTGTCCGCAGTCTCTGGTCATCTCCTGTACTGTGTCCGCAGTCTCTGGTCATCTCCTGTACTGTGTCCGCAGTCTCTGGTCATCTCCTGTACTGTGTGTCCGCAGTCTCTGGTCATCTCCTGTACTGTGTCCGCAGTCTCTGGTCATCCCTGTACTGTGTCCGCAGTCTCTGGTCATCCCTGTACCGTGTCCGCAGTCTCTGGTCATCCCTGTACCGTGTCTGCAGTCTCTGGTCATCCCTGTGTACCGTGTCTGCAGTCTCTGGTCATCCCTGTACTGTGTCCGCAGTCTCTGGTCATCCCTGTACCGTGTCCGCAGTCTCTGGTCATCCCTGTACCGTGTCCGCAGTCTCTGGTCATCTCCTGTACTGTGTCCGCAGTCTCTGGTCATCCCTGTACTGTGTCCGCAGTCTCTGGTCATCCCTGTACTGTGTCTGCAGTCTCTGGTCATCCCTGTACTGTGTCCGCAGTCTCTGGTCATCCCTGTACTGTGTCCGCAGTCTCTGGTCATCCCTGTACTGTGTCCGCAGTCTCTGGTCATCCCTGTACTGTCCGCAGTCTCTGGTCATCCCTGTACTGTTAATTAGTTTGCACTACTGTACGAGTTGTTTTTTCTAAACCAAAAGCTCGATATTCAGGTTTCATTGCAGTGTTGGCACTTTGAAAGAAATAAGTTGGTTTTGGGTTGCAGTTTGGGCACTCGGGCTCAAAAAGGTTCGCCATCACTGGTATAGATAATGGAATTTACACAGCTTTTACTTTCTGACTGCCCATCACATTTCTTGAGGTGCTAAAATACCAGGATAGTGCAAAACCCCCAAATGACCCCTTTTCAGAAAGTATACGCCCTAAGCTATCTGCTGAGAGGCATATTGAGTCCATGGAAGATTTCTTTTTTTTTCCACAAGTTTCTGAAAATGACAAAAACTGGGGTTTTTTTTTGTTTTTTTTTTTACACAAAGTTGTCATTTAAATGATTTATGTCTCGCACAAGCCATGGGTCAAGTCTTGTGCACACAGGTGTGTGTGCATGGGAAGGGCGATTTTTTTTTTTTTTTCTTTATTATTTTTACACTGTACCTTTCATTTTTTTTTATCACTTTTAATGCTATCACAGGGAATGCAAATATCCCCTATAACTTCAATGGGCATTGTCATATATTCTTTTTTGAGAAATCTGGGGTCTATCAGACTCTGGATATCTCCTCTGCCCTTACATTATCTAATCAAACCAAAATCGGTGTGATCAGATGCTTTCCCAATTTACAAATGGCTCTGTTTATATCCTGCGAAACTGAAGTGATGAAATGCTTGTAGCTTCCGAATTCTTAGACTATAGAGATGATGGCACCACTCTGGTCTCCAATCAGCTCTATGGTCAGCTGGCAGAAACACCAGCTGCATTCTCAGGTTCCCCCGATGGCACGGGACTGCCCGAGAAGGCCGGGGAGGGTGGGGGTATCATCTCCCGATGCTTGTAAAAGCAATCCTGCAGCTAATTAGCCACTAGGATTGCATTTACATGAAAGTTGATCGACTGCTGAAAAAAACGATACCAGGATGATGTCTGCAGCTGTAGGCATCATCCTGGTATAACCATTCAAAGTCCAGCGATGTACCAGTACATCGCTGATCCTTGTTGAGTGTATATGCTATGATCTTTTATTTTGTATGCAGCCTGTGGACTGAATGGAAAAAAAAAGAGAAGAAATCTCTGCCAGAAAAAGAAAGTGTGTGGTATGCCCACCATTAGAATATACCGCCCTGCATTCACCCACTTCTGATGGTGGGCACACATTAGGTCACACTTTGCCACAAGCGCCAGTTCCAAGATTGAACAAATGTTTAAATAGTGGCGCGCTTGAATAAAAATTGTCCACGTATAAGTGGTACCCCATATGGAAAAAGGATGACACCAAGTCCCAAACTATCTTGCCACTGCTCCCCATGTAGTCTGGGCATCCGGGGGGGGCTCCTCATGACTATCTTTTCCCTCATAAATCCAAAACTTATAAGTATAGCCTGTTGTCCTCTCACAGGTCTTCTACATCTTGACCCCATATCTGGCACACTTGCAGGGGAGAAATTGTTTGAATGCAAGGCGGCCAGAAAAATTAATCAGGGACTCATCAACGCAGATGTTTTGCTGGGGAGTATAGACATCTGCAAATTTTTGGTTAAGGTGATTTGCGAGGGGCTGAATTTTGTGGATCCGGTCAAATTCAGGGTTACTCCGAGGATGACAGAGTGTACTGTCGTTGAAATGCATAAAACACGGAGGGAGTGTCCAAGATGGCGACCGGAGTGGATGTCTGATCCTGAGCTCCGGCACCCTACAGTTAGAATCCGCTGCCATCCAGGGGACAGCGGGCCTTGCACGGCCACTGGAGGCTCGGCGGACCCTGCCTGACATCTGAGGAGGGGTACCGGGCGTTTTTGTCCTCCTCTCCGGCCATTCGGAGCTCCGGACACTTTGCGGCCTAGCGCGGCGTGTGGAGCAGCGGTCTTACCCGCTACCGCGGCCGAGATGGGACGCTGCCGCTCTGCCTCCTGGCCCCCTGCTATAAGGTCAGCTGCTGGGACAGCCTGTGTGGGTCCCCCTGGCTTCTGTGTTGGTCCCGGGGACCACGCCGGGCTTACATATAATCCCATGGGGCCTGGAGGCCCACCGAAGCGGCCCTTGATAGGGGTGGAGGCTTCAACCAACAGCCCCCTTTCCATAGAGGGTGAATCGGGCTCCTGTGGCCCCCCTTGCAAGTCTCCAGTGTTGCTGACCCCTTGGCCAGATTGTCGTGGACACGCACGCCCCACCGGCTGCTGCGATCTTGGGGCCTACGTCCGCTCTACATCACCCTATGGCAAGTACCGCTACAGTTATATCTGCAGTCTATATCTACCCCTCCCTTCCCAGTGCGATAATCTGTTCTACAATTTATTGGCTGCGGCGGGACGCATTGATGTGTTCCGCAGCAATGGATCCTATGTGAAAGCAACCCCGTCGGGGGAGACGCACTCGTAATCGGGGATGATGACCCAGTGATCTCCCTGTGCCGTGCCACCGGAACATATATCTCGGCAATTGGGCTTCTACACCCTGGCGTATAACTTCAACCGGTTGAAGGTGTTTATGACCTATCTGGACTGCTCCTAAAAATGCATCGTACCCCTCGCACCAAACCCAAACACCGGGCTCAGCAGCAATCACCTCCGCATAGCCACACTAGCAAGCTAACGCCCAGTCCCCCAGAGCCTGATGACATCATGCAGCTTGCAGGGGATCCTGAGTCGGATGGCGATAGTCAGCAGCAGTTTCCATCGGGACTGACGGGCCCTCTTGAACAAAACCCTGAAGCCTTGCTACACAAATTTCGCACCATAGTGCAAGAGGAGATTACAGTTGCCTCTCGTAAGTTATCTTCTGATCTGGTAAGAGGCCTAAAGGAATTGGGTCATCGTGTCCATCAACTAGAACAACGTATGGATCTGGCGACTACGGTCTTGGAGGGCCATGAACAGGAGGTGGATGATCTGCATGCTGAGCTGGACACTTTGAAAGATTAAGTTGGAAGACGCTGAGAATAGAGCTTGCAGAAATAATGTCCGCATCCGCGGGGTTCCTGAGGTAATCACCGATCTACAGGGTACTGCTACCGCTCTCTTCCAGGAACTGGCTTCTGAGATCCCCTTGGAACGACTGGAGTTTGACCGTATCCATAGAGCTTTAGCTCCTAAACCCACGGAGGGCCCTCCCAGGGACATTATTATTAAATTTCACTTTTACAGTACTAAAGAGCGTCTTCTTCAGGCGGCTCAGAATCGCCTGGCTTTCAGGGTCACTCTATTCAGCTGTTTGCGGATTTGTCCCCAGTCACGATTGTCAAACGTCGTACCCTGAGACCCTACCTTCAGATTTTACAATCAGCTGATATCAAGTACAGATGGGGTTTTCCTCGCAAGCTCTCTTTCTCCTTCCAAGGTCGTCAGTTCCAAGCTTCTTCACCAGCGGATCTTCGCCGTCACTTTCAGGAACTGAAATTGGAGTTACCACACTCCCAGAACGAGGAAGCTATAGTTTCTATGCGCCCTCGAAGTTCCCAGTCTTCATGTAAATCTCCTCCAAGTCAGAGTATAGTTGCAAAAAAAAGTATGTGAACCCCTTGGGATTACGTGGAGTTTTGCATGAATTGGGCATAAAATATGCTCTGAACGTCATCTAAGTCACAACAATAGAAGAACACAGTCTGCTGAACATAATACTACACAAACATTAGATGTTGCCATGGTTTAATTGCACATAACATGTAAACATTCACAGTGCAGGGAGGAAAAAATGTGAGGCCCTAGCTTAATGACTTCTCCCAGAGCTAATTGGAGCCAGGAGTGAGCCAACCTTGACTCCAATCAGTGTGATGATATTGGATGTGTTGCTGACAGCTGTCCTGCCCTTAAAAAACACACACCTGCTTTGGGTTTACTGATTTCAAGAAACACTGTCTGATGTTACATGTTATGTGCAATTAAACCATGGCAACAGCTAATGTTTGTGTAGTATTATGTTCAGCAGACTGTGTTCTTCTATTGTTGTGACTTAGATGACGTTCAGAGCACATTTTATGCCCAATTAATGCAAGACTCCACGTAATCCCAAGGGGTTCACATACTTTTTCTTGCTACTGTAGCTCTCAGGCTCTTCGATCTCTGCAGGCCCAACGTTTCCAGGAGGTTTCTGCGACTTGACATTCTGGGGTTTATTTACTAAAGCTGGAGAGTCCAAAATCAGACTCCCTTCTGCATAGAAACCAATCAGCTTCCAGGTTTCATTGCCAAAGCTTCATTGAACAAGCTGAGGTAAGAAGCTGATTGGTTTCTATGCAGAAGGGAGTCTGATTTTGGACTCTCCAGCTTTAGTAAATAAACCCCTCTGTGTCCGGTTGGGTTTTCACATTTGTTTTTTACTCTTTGAGATGCGGGCGACATTGCCCTTAGGTATTCCTATGCAGTTATGCCTTGTAGCACTTTCTCCACAGTGGCTAGTGCCTAAATAACCATGTTAGTTCTATATAGATGCTTCTACTTATGTTATTGTTGATGGGTGGAACTGGCGGCGGACCTCAGGCCGCGAGTGTGACTTTGCTCACACGGGGCGGTCCCGTGGGTGGTTTCACCCCTCCGGCTATTTTGGAGCATCTTCATTTTTGAAGTTCTAGTCTATTGAGTTTCCTATTGCCTTACTAGCCCTCTATAGGTCAATTGTTCCTGGGTTTATTAGCCTAAGTTGTTTGTTTAGTATTTTCTTGCCTTAACTAAGTTGAGTAGTTCCGGTGGACTATGGTGTCCCCCTTCGAGCTGGTTAGTGGTCTGGATTGGTGTCCTGCCAGCTATCCAGCCTTTTTGTGGGTATTTCACCCACAGTGGATTATTAAGATGTCTGTCCTAATCTTACTGTTTCATATGAATATAGCTCGTATACCAGATGGATTCTTGTTTTCTTCCTTCTTTTCTGTCTTTTATTCTCTGT